GTGAGGGAAATTGAAAGAATTTGTTCAAATTTGTATTTGAATTTTGTAAATAAACTAGTAGAAAAAATGTTAAAGACTCTTTTCCATGAGGTTCTTGATGGTCCGTAAGGTCTTTAGTGGATGACTAGTCATGTTTCTTGGTCTGTCTTAGTTTAGAAGCTCAACTAAAAAACTGTCCACCATGGTTATTAACCCTGCTCATATTTTGAACACCAGTGGCATAGATTCCAGTATCATAGTAACATACAAGCCAACACAGTATGACAACCTGACAGACAAGCAGTGGAGTAAGATCACTGCTGTTGTTAGGTGCAGTCAAATCAAGTATGGCTCATAACGACCCTATAAACAACAGATCTAAACTCTGTTCTTTCTCGTGCCATCCTCATACTCTCTGATACACTTGAGCCCACTGCTGCAGTCACTGTGTCAATCCACCTGGTTGAGGGTCTTTCTCTCTTTTGCTGTCTCTCCACCTTCCCAAGCATGATGTCTCTCTCCAAGGAATAACCTCTTCTAGCAACATGCCCAAAGTATATGTGAGGTGAAATTTAATTATCTTTGTCGCCAGGAAACACTGTGGCTACACCTTCTCCAAATCCCATCTGTTCATTTATTTTGTCAGTCCATGGTTTACAACATACTGTAAATATAAAGATTGGTGATGTGTACTCACCCAGCAGCACAGCTAAGAAAATCTTGGTGATCTGCTTCCATAAAGATTACACCCATGAAAACTCAAAGGGGCAGTTCCACTCCATGATATATTGGATAGACATGAGTTAGACCTGAGTCATTGGAAACATGTTTAATGTTTTGGTTTTTTAGATACCCAAGAAAAAGAAAACTCATATGCCTCACAAAAACTTTCACATGAATATTTATACCAGCAGTGTTCACAACAATAGGGAGGGAAAATACACAGGTGTCTATCAACTGATAAATGGATAAACAAAATGTGTTTAATCCATACAATGAAATGTTACTTGACCACAAAAAGGAATAAAGTAGTGATAGGTGTTATGGTACAAAGGAACCTCAAAAACATTATACCAAGAGAAGGAAGTCAGATACAAAAGGCCACATATTATATGATCTCATTTATCTGAAATTTCCAGAACAGGGGTGTTTGTAAAGAATGAAAGTATATGTGGGGTTGGAATGAGATGAAAGGAATGAAATGAGGGTGGACAGGTGGACAGATGGATGTAGATGGATGGTAGATGGATAGATGTTTAAGATTTCTCTTTTTTTATGTTCTAGAATGAAATGTGGTGATAGTTGCACATATTTGTGAATATGCTAAAACTCATTGAATTGCATACTGTAATTGGGTGAGTTGGAAAGTATGTGAATTCTTTCTCAATGAAGCTAATTAAAAGAAAAAATTAACAATTTAATGGCCAGATATAGACTAGAGCACTAAAGTCATAGGCAGAGAAGAAAGAAGCAGAGAAAGGTGTGAAGTCATTAGCTGAAGCAGCTGGAAAACACTGAGGTTCTGGGGCTGACCCTTTGTGGGTTAGAGCCCTTATTGGGCCTCTTACTGGTTGGGTGACTTTGAGCAGTCAATTCACCACCGTGAGCCTCAGCTGCCTATGCAGAACAGGAGCAACAGTGTTGGTCTTCTGAGATCTGATGCGATGATAGCAATGAAGTTTCATGGTTAAATGAGGAATGGATGGGCATGGACATGAGGACGATAGTGATGATGGATTGTTGACAGCAGAAGCTGGGGTGTGTGGGGGCCTTTGTGGTTGAGCTAATTCGGATGCTTTGACTTTATCACAAGGATCGCTTGGTGGTGCAATGGTTAAGCTCTTGGCTGCCAACCAAAAAGCCAGTAGTTTGAACCCACCAGCCACTCCACCTTTCCCACGTTAGCCAGGAGTGCCGGCCGAGCCCAGCCTTCATCTGTCCCATGAATGTTTGGCTCTATTTCCTGATCAATGGCTGTGCCAAGGGTGTGTCACTCTTGTCATGAGGTTGCTGGAATGACAGAAGACTCCCAGGCAATAAAGGTCCAGCCGGCTGTGCAGTCTAACTCGCAGACCAACCTCTTGGCAGAGGCCTGGAAAGAGCCTACACTGTCAGCCCCTTCTCACAGCTCAGCATTAACCTGACCTGCTCCTTTGTGCGTAGCCCTGTGCTGGCAGGTAGATAGGAGAGGGGTGAGTCCTTGCCTGGCCTGAAGGAGGAACCACCTCTAGAGTCCGTAAGTGTTTTCAGACAAATACTAGCACTCTCGCTCTTGTTCGCTTGCTCTCTCTCTCTCTCATCTCCCTCTTCCTCATTCCTCTCTCTTTCTCTCTCTCCTCCCTTTCGCCCTGATTGTTCTGATTAATTTGTGTTAGAACTAAATGCATTTCCTTCCATATGTCCCATCTATTCTTTCATCTATCCCTCCCTCCCTTCATCCATCCATCCATCCATCCAACTACTATCCACCTATTCATGCTTATTTTCATTTGATAACTTGTTTATTTGTTCACTTAACAAATTCCCATCAACACCAGCTCTGTGCCCAACCCCATGCTCGTGGCTCTGATGGAAAGAGAGATAAATCAGGATTCCAGTCCTAAAAACTGAGCTGCTGATTCATCCATGAGAATACAAACAAAAGGCACTGTTGCAACTCAACTATGAAAAGGCAGAGAAATAGGAGTGTGGGAAAGAGAGAAGCCGTTTCCAGTGGGTTAACTAAGATCACAACATCCACTTTGCTATGGCACTGCTGTGAAGCATGTAGCACTCCTTCTAGGTTCTTTTCAGATGAGAATGTCAAGATTTAGAGAAGGAAGTGAGATGCTTGAAGTCATACTACTGGTAAGGGGCTGAAGTGGAACTTGATTGTGATCTACCTGGTTCCTGAACCCAGCCAGACTTGTCATTTCATTTGGTTCTGTTTAACCCAGAACTGGCTTTACTTCTCCTCTCCTCAATCTTTGTCTCCCTCTCTCCCCCTGCCCACTCCTTTCTTGTTCATTCTTTCTCTCTCTCTCTCTCTCTCTCTCTCTCTCTCTCTCTCCCCCTCTCCCCCTCTCCCTCTCTCTTTGTGTGTGTGTGCACGTCAGAGAGAGGGAGAGATATTTCATGTATTTTCTATCATAGACTATAAATAATCAATAAAGATTTTGATAGGAAGATAGATGTATTGTTGTTGTTGTAGATTGTCATCGAGTCGAGCACGACTCATGGTGACCCCATCAACAAAAGGCCTGAAGCCTTTCTATAACTATTGTCATTTATTAAAGGTCATAGAGTTTCTACAGACATGTTGTTTCGGAAGTGGATGCCTCTCCTGCTTCCAAAGATAGATGTATAGGTGGTTGTTTGTATAAGTGAATGGATGACGAAGTGAATGGTAGATGGACATGTGTGCAAGGATGGATGTGGGTGGATGGGTGGTGTTATTAGATGCCACTGAGTTTAGTTACTCTCACAGCAATCCTATGCGATAAATTAGAACTACCCCTATGGAGTCTTCTTGGATGCAGTCTTTTTGTGAGCACAGCATCAAGTCTTTTGCTCATGGAGTCACTGAGTAGGTTCAAACTGTCAACCTTTCCACTATCAGCTAAGCACTTAAACTTGTGTACCACTAGGGCTCTTGGATGAGTGGATGGATAGATGTATAAATTGAATAAGTGACTGGATGGATGGATGGATGGATGGATGGATGAGAAGGTAGATGAAATCTTGACCAATAAAGAAGAATCTTAAAATATATCAAGCTAATATGTTTTTTCCCAATTAAAAAAAACATAAAAAATATTTCAAGCTGATGAGGATATGGGTTTTTCCTGTTTGTTTGAGTGGGATTTATCCCCCCTTATTAAAAAAAAAAAAAGGCATGGAGCTAAAAAATTCCAAAGTGTGGACCAAAGTCATTCTATCCAGTCAGAATAAAAGAGCAGGAGTCAGAAATTAGCATACAGAACTCGGAAAGATGAGATACTCATGCCCAAGGCAGAAAGAGAGATGGGTTGATCTCTTCTGATTAGAGACTCATTGAAACTAGTATTCCCAACATTGATAATATTCTCATTTTAAACCCAACATCAAAGCGTCTCCTTGGTGGTTCATCCCCAGCCACTCCAGGAGTACATAGGGATTCTTGCCCTATTCATTAACCCAGGGATTTCTTAGGACATACCAGTCTATAACAGTTTGGTGAATATAATGAGAGGATAGGAAAGGTCTTAGAAGGATAGTTTTGCAGAGAGGGTGTCTAGAAGAAGTTCTGGGGACATCCAGAGAGGAAAGAAACCACTGGAGTGTCACGGCAAAAAATTTTCATGGACTATCATCTCCTTCCCATGTCTAACCCTATCATGCACTAAGTACCATCGCTAGTACTATTTATCTAGTCTCATAAATTCAGATAGACAAATTTCTCTGTCCTTAGCCCCTCTGCATTTTTCCTAGATACCCTCAGCTTGTCTTCTCTTGGTCTCCAGGATACAAACAAGGAGACTTTTACACAGAGTTAAAGAAGAAAATGAGTGATCCTCAGCCTTTGGAAGAGGTAAGCTGGGTGCAGGCTAGAAGGGTAGGAAACTTTTAGGATGGAGGTGAGGGGTTTAATGTTTCAGAGATGTTAGAAGAAGCCAAAATCAAGATCTAAACACTGAGCTGGAAGGCACCTTGAAGTTAAAGAAACAGACTCAGAGATCAGGGAGGGGTGTGCATAGGAGAACAGATATCTTCCAATGATTGACTTAATACTATGCTAGTCAGTATTCTGCTTTCTTACTAAAAAGAAAATTATATCCCAATATTCTTATTCATAAAGAGATTAAGTAAGGATCTCAGTATTTGCTTCCAAAATTCTGAGACTCTTATAAGTGAGGAAGCAGTGGAGGGATGCTCAGAACATCCCTGGGAAGGATAGGGAGGGAGATAAAGTCATCACGTGTGAAAACTGGAATGGACAGAGCAGGCTTCAGACCTGTACATAAGGTCACTGGTGACTCAATGGCACATAACAACAACAACCCATACATTCAAGTCTGCATTTAGAAACTGAGGCTTAAAGAGGGGCAACGTCTTGCTCAAGTTCACAGAGAGGTTGCAACAGAGCCAGGCTCTAGGTTGAGCTTCCAGATTTGGCATGTAAAATACAGGCTGTCCAATTACATTTGAATTTCAGATAAACAACAGATAATTTTATAGTCCAAGAGTGCCCTGTATAATATTGCTATGAGTATATTCAGTTACAAGACATTATTACCAGCTGCCCTTGAATTGATTTTGATCCATGGTAACCCCATGTATCAGAGAAGAATTGTGCTCTGTAGAATTTCCAGCAGTTGCTGTGTTTTTGGAGGTAGATCACCCGGTTGGTATTTTGGATATAGATATTCCAAGGAATCTCTGAGTGAACGTGGACTTCCAACCTTTTGATGTTCACTTAAGCATTTGCATCTCTCAATGCTAGCTGGGACTTACTTAAACTCATCATTAATGTTACTGTGGTTCTTAGTTACTGTCAAGTAATAAACAAAACATTGCTGGTCCCGCACCATCTATGTGATCATTGATATGTTTGATCCCAGTGTTTTGGCTATTGTGTCAATACTGACAGTTTCCTTCATTTTCACTGAGCCCCTTATTAATCATGGTGTCCTTATCTAGCCCTTGGATAACCAATCATAGTTGTTCCTTATATTCACATTTAGGTATTCTGTATTTTATCTGGCCATTCTAGCCTCAGTTCTCTTAATTATATCACCTATTTCTGTCTGACCTTTCTCCTTTTGCTAACTTCTATTGCCTCTTACTTCAGGAGTCATACGATATGTCAGGCACCCGCCTGGCCCTGACACTGTGCGTCACCAAAGCCCGGGAAGGTTCTGAGGAAGATATGGAAGCCCTTGAACATATGTTCCAGCAGCTGGGATTTGAAAGTACCATGAAGAGAGACCCCACTGCCAAGGTATTGTGCGACCAGCTCAGATTGGGAGTGGTAAGGTCCTGGGCCAGAGGGTAAGCCCTGGGACCCCACCTGAGTCTGGCCATTCCTCTCCTCCAGCAATTCCAAGAAGAACTGGATAAATTCCAGCAGGCCATGGATGCCCGGACAGATCCCATCAGCTGTGGCTTTGTGGTACTCATGGCGCATGGGTTAGAAGGCCAACTCAAGGGGGAAGATGGCGAAATGGTCAACCTGGATGACCTCTTTGCTGTCCTCAACAACAAGAACTGCCGGGCCCTGAGGGGCAAACCCAAGGTGTACATCGTGCAGGCCTGTCGAGGAGGTGGGGACCGACCCAAGAAAACAGAACTTGGATCATGGAGCCCAGAGTTACCTATAATCAAACCAAATTCCAGATCCGGTGCCCAAACACCAGTTAAGCCTTGTACAGCCTCCCTTGTGCTACAAGACTGGGATCTTCTTGTATCCATAACTTTTTCTTTGCTTTCTCCACTTCTTCTCTTTCAGAGCATAAGGACCCTGGAGAAGTAGTAGGTGGAGATGAGGTCATGATGATCACAAAGGACAATACTAAAACCATTCCAACCTTCACGGATTTCCTACACATCTTTTCTACCATAGAGGGTATGTGCTATTAGTCCACCCAGGCACCAGCTGTAGCCTTGCCTCTGGTTCCCGCCTGCTCCCCCATTGCACTCCCCCTAAGTCTCTACTTTGCAGTCAGCCCTCCTACGAATCATCTAAACATCTATTCATGTCTGCATTCAGCCACCTGTTTGTTCATCTATTTGCCTGTCTATCCATTCTCCCATTTACCCGTCCATTCGCTGATGCACCACCTTCCCTCGCTGCTAGAGCTTCCAAGCCCACCTCATCATGATCTCTCTGGAATCCCTAGGGTACATTTCCTACAGACATGACAAGAAAGGTTCCTTCTTCATCCAGACATTGGTTAAAGTGTTTACCGAGAGGAAAGGACCCATCCTGGAGCTTCTGACAGAGGTAAGGAGAGTACCTGGACCTCTGTCCAGTCTGAGAGGAAACCAGAAGGAGTTGGCCTTTCCCAAACTTTTCTCCATGTTACCCTTCAATGTCTCAACCGTGAATCCAACCTGGATTCCAACACAGATTTTGGAATGTACATCAACCAGCAATGATTTCTCCTAATGCCAAGATACCCCAAACCCTCAGTATTGGAGATGATTTAGAGGGACTACAGAGACACTTCTAAAAACAAATACCCATATAATCACCCTTTGGATTTAACCAACTGTTTGGACAGTTTTTTTTTCTGTCTGTGTATTTGATTATGGATTAGGAAAATACATGCAAAAAGAATGTTCAAGCAAGTATTTTCTAGATAACATTGGGGCAGATTACTTCTCAATCTGCAGTGGACCATTTCAAATGGGTCTACCACATGACTTTACTTACATCTTTCGTGAACAGGGATTCATCTGTGAAACTATTCACTACAGATTAGTAAATAGGCACAAGAAAGACCTTGCTTGCCTTGTGCACTGAGTGTTCTGTCCCTGTACCCTGTCTCTGAAAAGAAGCTTTGATTCTGTGGGAAGGTGTTGTAGGATTGGGGGAGAGACAGATAGCAGCCATGCCTAGAAGCAGAATCTTTGATGTGATGAAAAATATGACATCATTCACTACAAATTAGTATGCAAACACGAGTAAAGCAGATGCTTGCCTTGGATATTGCATAATCTGATACTGAATATGATGATACAAGGTGAGGCAATAAAAGGTTTCTCATTGTAGGACAAGGGTACCCACCTGATTTCTCACACCCTGTTTCCTCGCCTTCTCCCTTTAAGCATATTATCCCGAGTCCCCTGGGGGCCTCGCTCCAAGAGGACCATCTCTGTTGTTGCAGGTAACACGGAGGATGGCTGAAGAAGAACTGGTTCAGGGAGGGAAGGCGAGGAAAGTGAATCCTGAAATCCAAAGCACCCTTCGAAAACGTCTCTATCTGCAGAAGTAGAAAAGGCAGGGAGGAATTTTTCTTCTGGTTTCTCTGTCACATATACTTTTGAGGTAGCTCTCACCCTTCCACAAACATCTCCTTTTCCCAAGACACCTACCTTGTCACACTTCTCATGCTGGTCCTTTTTCCATCTATCCCTGTCCTTCTTAGAGGAAGCTGGCCAAAATAGAAAACAAGGCACATATGGGACATGAACATCGTCTCCCTCAGGCTGAACGCTCTACCTCAATTATTGTAACCCAAGATTCTCTTACCCCATTCTCTGATCCTGGGCTCAGTTGAAACCCTTCTTTCTCTTATGACTCACACCCATTCGAAGGCAGCCAATGAAAACACCATCTTTTGCTCTGGCAAACCAATGCCCACACATTACTTCACTCAAATCAAAACTTTCTGACTCCTGAATCTCATCTAGAGTTATAACTGTTTCCTGCTCCACTCCAATCTCTCAGTGATTCCTTCCCAACCAATGGAGATTCAATCAGTAAGAACAATTCTCTAAGACTTCTCCTAGGCTTGCAAGGGAGTGCAATGACACCATTTTTTTCTCAGCTTACAGACTCTATCTCTGTCTTATGGAGCAGTCTGAGGGAGATAGCTCTCTCTCTCTTTCTCTGCTAGCACACCTCCTCATAAGGTTCTGGACTCTCTTATGTCCAGGAAAATCCACGCATTCATCTATTCTTGAAATTCAAACTATCCAGCATTTTGTGAACCAGAGCGTGTTTTTGCATCTGTGAAACATCAGCTGATATCATCCTGTTATTTTGAAATCAGTGGAATAAAGTCTCTGACAGGTTAGATGACTTATCACAAGCCACACTTTTAAGTTTTCCCTGGCATCTTCAAACTCAGACTTCAGGTTTAGAATGCTGTGGTTAGCTTTGAATCCTCTTTTGTTACATCCTTTACATGCCACCAGCTATCATGCCCAGCCCTGCCTGAGTGATTTTGAAATGTCTCTTATTCCAGTCTTCTTTTCCCTAAGACCTCACTCACTAGACTCAAATTCATCTTGTGTCTGCATCTTTATGATAGCTTTCTTCCTTCTCTCTCTGCCACTCATCTCACCCCTCCACTCTGTCCTCTGTGTCATTCACAAAAGTGATCTCACTAGAACAATCAAGACACAATTACCTCGTATTATTTGTTGTTGTTATGTGCTATCCGGTTGACTACAACTCTTAGTGACCCTATGGACAACAGATTGGGACCTTGCCTATCCTACGCCATCCTCACAATCTCCACCTTAATATTTAGAGACAAAGATTGAACTCCGCATCCTGATTTCTCACACCCTTATGACTCCATTTCCAAACAACAATGAGCTAAATTAATCTCCTATCTCCCCCACCATGAACTCATTCTTCTAACAAAGCCAGTCCTCTACTTGTCCCTTCTAACAAGGCAGGACTTCCTTTATACATCCCTTTCCAAGACTTTATTATCATTTTCTCAAACTAGAATGACCCTTCCCCTTTATCTACCTTTCTCTACCTAATATCATTTCCAGTTGATACTGGTCTCCTACCTAGAACATGCTAAAGATTACAATTTCTTGAGAGCAGGGAATAAGTTTTTGTACCAATATAATGGTGTTCAATAAACAGTTGACTAACTTCAAAAGAATATCTTGGGTCTTTTCTTTGTGCTTGAACTTCATAGTTCTGATGTGAAAGGATTTAGTGGTGAACAGTTGCCTCACAATTGTATCTGTCATAAGCAGAGAATCAGGTGCTTCCTTCTGACTCATAAAAACACTTAAATTTGGAATTTGTGAAGTCAGCATCATACTCCTCTGCCAGATGGTTCTGTTTTAGATGATTTCTCCATTTCCAAGAATTATCCAGACACAGAACGGTGGATTTTCAGAACCATCAAAGACACTGGTGATCAGTTAGTTACTACTGGCTCACAAATATTTGACAAGTGTATCACCTCTCTCTATCTCGGTTCCTACGACAGACACAAATCAGCCCCATCGTCTTTCGTACTAAACTCAGGTGTGGCCTTAGAAGTCTTCCTTCTCTTAGCACCCCAAAAACAATACCTGTCTATGGGTATGGGCATGTTGCCCTTGATCCAGGTGAAATCCTCAATTTGAGGAGTCAACTCTCACCAAGTTCTTACTTGGCAGACCTAGGGCTTCTCATGCATGGAAAAGCAGTAACCAAGGTGGTGGCTGGAAGTGGCTGAGAAAGTGGCTGAGGCATGAGTGAGGGCATGAGACAAAAAGGGCTTGGGCTCACTGACCTACCCCTGGGAATGAGAGAATGAAGGGACGTGGCTGGTAGTCAGGCTCTGAACTGACCAGGGAAGGGACATTTATATTTCCACAGGAAGTAACTTGTGTGAAATACAAGGGAACTTTGACTTGGTGTCAAAGTGAGATGATTGCTGCGTTTTTAGACCTGTGTGCACAGTTGGCACCATGAGAATGAGTCACTAGAGGTCCCAGGTCACCCAAGACAGACCCAGATCATTCTTCCGACTCAGCCTGTACTCACTTCCATCACCTCTTACCCCTCCCCCTCAACAATTTCTTCATGGAAATTTCCTTGTCAAACAACCTAGGCAGGTAAATCTTTATGGTTCTTTACAGACTTTTTCTCCAAAACACAAGTCATTTTTAAAAATGTTACATTGATTCGTGTACAAAGTTCATATACATGTGTTTCACACTGTCCTTTATTCACATTGTATTTCATACAATCATTCCCATGCATTATGTTTTATAAAATCAATCACCATCAAATTATGTCCTTCTTTACCCTGTCTTTCTAGATCTCCACTGCATCATTCCCATTTCCTTTAACTTCCCCCTCATCAAATTGTACAACCTTAAGATTTCACCCCACCCACCCTCACTCTTCTGTTCCCACCCCTTTCCCCCCATGGATCCCCATACACATTTTCACTAGTTATCCTGCTGTTTTTACAATAATGGTCCTGTGCCGGATTTATTCCTATGAGACTGAGTTATAATGCTCTCCACTCAGCATAATGCCCTTCATTCTCTTCCAAGTTACGTAATAATTTTCAAAATCATTGTTCCTGAGAACTGCACAGTATTCCGTCATGTGACTATACCACAATTTCTCAGTCCATTTGATTGTGGTCGGACAGTTGGACTGTTTCTACATTATAAGCCATATTTTTAAAGTTATGCCTTTAATGATTTCTTTTAAATGTTCTTCTTCCACTAAATGGTAGGCTGCAAGACTCAATTCTGCTGTCATAAGCCACTGAGCCTGGGGGACCATTTGTCACTCACTGCTCTATCACCTAAACAATGCTGACACACCAGACCAATTTCAGGCCTCAAGATGGGAGAGATTAAAAATGTGCACTACTACGAATGAAGTTCTAAGGTTCTTGGCAACTCGAGGAAATCCACAGATTAAGATAGGAGTGGTGCAAATGGTCAGCGTGCCCATTTGCAAAGAAAAAGTTGGAGATTCAAGTTATATACAGAGGTATATCAAAGGAGAGGGGGGAATTAATCATGAGGTTGCATAATTTGATGGGTGGGGAATTAGAGAAATTGAAAGAATCTGTTCTGGAAAGCAATGTATTTGAATTTTGTAAATAAACTAGAATAACAACAGCAACAACAGATTATCCAGGAGGCTGGGCTCTATGAGGAGAAGTGTGACGTCAGGATTAGTGGAAGATATATCAACAATCTGCGTTATGCAGATAACACAACCCTGCTTGCTGAAACTGAGGAGGACCCAAAACACTTGCTGCAGAGGGTCAAGGACTGCAGCCTTCAATATGGATTGAGGTTCAATATTAAGAAGACAAAGATTCTCACCACTGGACCAATTGGCAGCATCAGGATGGATGGTAAAGAGATTGAGATTGTATACAGCTTTAGTTTGCTTGGCTCCACAGTCAACAGTCTTGGCACCAGCAGCCAGGAAATTAAAAGGTGCATTGCCATGGGAAAGTCTGCTGTTAGGGACCTCTCCAAAGTACTGAAGAGCAATGGTGTCTCTCTGGAGACTAAGGTGCATCTGATACAGGCCATGGTCTTTGCAATCACTTGCTATGCATCAGAGAGCTGGACAATGACTAGGGAGGATAAAAGCAGAATTGATGCCTTTGAGCTGTGGTGCTGGAGAAGAGTATTGAGAATACCATGGACTGCTAAGAAAACAATCTGGTTCATCCTGGAGAGGGTTAAACCAGGCTACTCCTTGGAGGCAAGGATTCTGATGCTTCGTCTGACATACCTTGGACATGTTGTCAAGGAGGGAACAGTCCTTGGAAAGGGGCATCATGCTTGGGAGGTTGGAGGGACAGTGCAAGAGAGGAAGACCCTCTATAAGGTGGATTGATTCAGTGACTGGGGTAACCGGGGTGGGTGTGTAAGAGACAGTGCAATTGGCACAGGACAGAGCAGGGTTTAGTGCTGTTGTACATAGGGTCGCTATGAGTCACGAATGACTCAATGGCACACAACAACAACAATAATAAAAAGAACTGATCTGTTTCTAAAAATATTAGCCACTACAGAATAGTCCACAAGAACAATGTTCCACATTCTACTTTAGTGAGTAACAAATGCAGTATTAAAAACTTGTGAGCAGTGATTCAAGGTGTAAACTATTGGCCTCTCCTCATCTGGAACAAAGATGAAAATCAAGGACTCATATATGCTGCAAATATATCATTTAACAAATGGAACATTTTAAAAAAATGAAGACTAATATTCCAAAGGACTAAGACTAATAGCCATGTGAACTTTAGTCTCTAGGACCCTGAGAACAATAAGTACATGGCTCCTGACTACTCTTGATGACTGCTCTGAAAGGAATCACAATAGAAGTTCCCTGGTACAGTGGGGGGAGAAATGTGGACTAAAACTCAAAACCATAAGAGAGATTAGACATCCTAGTCTAACAAAGACTGGTGCAATTCCTCAAGATTATGGTCTTTAGTCACCATTTAAGCCTCAAACTGGAATTACATCATAATTTAACTTCAATCCA